TGCAGGAGAAGTTAGGGCAGAGTGCTTGAGATGGCCTTGTGGTTCCAAGTGACACTTACCTGCCATGGATGTACTTTTAATCTATGTTTGTTTGCCCATTTTAATAATATGCATAAAAAGTGTAGGATTTGAAAAGGTTCTTAAAAGCAAATGAAGCCTAAATGAGACTATACATACTTTGCACCCCCAGGGGGAAGAAGAAATGAAACTTAAGATTTTTAAAAAATACATATTGTTGTTAATTGTTCGTGAATTAAATGAAATTTGTTACTATCAGGTAGAAAAGTTGAAGCTGCTTTATGATGAAGCAACAATGATCCAGAGAGAAACTGATATCCGATGTCAGCACAAGATAAAAGAAATGGTGGCACTGATGGAAAAACACAAGGTAAGGGATTGTATTGATTGCTGTGATTTGTCCTGTGTGATACCATGATACATAAGAACCTTTCAAAATCAGCATATCATGAATTAGAAAGTGCAGCTTCATAAAAAAGACCTGAATCTCGGAAAATGAAGCTGAACACATGCTTGGCTTTTCATCATCTAAAAATAAGTTCATCTTCAGATTTTGAAAACATGCCTCTGGGCAGAAAAATGCCATTTATCTAAATTTCTAGGATTTTTTTTTCTCTCTAGGCTTCCTTTGATAGCACCCTGATGCAGTGTCCTTCAGTGTCAGTCTGGCCTCTTTCTCGAGGAGATTCCTTGGTGACCTTCAGCAGTTTAATGTGACATATCTTAATGTACATTTTTATTCCTCCCTTTTGCAATCTGTTTAGCAGATACCATTAATAAAAAATAGCATGGCTTATGTGCTGGGACATGTGCTGCTGCACAGAAATTAAGCACTCTCTGTCAGCCCCCAAAATAATCCTGCTGGGGCGTTTTGTGTTCCACGGTTTCTGCAGAAGCACCGGTGTTCGTTCGTGGTGCTCCCTGAATCTTCAGAAGAGTCTGCTTTGAGGAAAGGACTGATGTTTGCAGACTGGGGAGATCTGTAATTGCAACATTTAGTCCAGTGTTTTGTTTGGTTTGGTTTTTTTAAAACAGCATGAATATGACAAAATGGTTGAAGAAAAAGATGCGGAGTTAAAAGTGTGTAAAATGAAGCAGCAAGAGCAGTTATCATCAGAAAGATCTCTGGTAAGGAGTGCTTTCAACACTAAATAGTGCAGTGGAGGGGCTGATGGCATCCAAGTGGGATATAACCAGAAATACCATATTTTACTTTTCCTGTTTAATACTTGGAGAGGGTTCAGTGTCTGCTTTAGTGGGGCTGAACAGTAAAGATCACTAATTTCTGCTTGCTTTTATTTTCTTAGAGATCTTATGTGCATTAAAAAAACCAAACGTTTCTAACAATAAATTGGAGCAGCAGTTGGTTTCTGTCTGCTTTTCCAGAGAGTGTCACCTTCTGACCTCACTGTCTAAGAACCTTTAGTATCCAGTAGTTGGATTCTGTCCCCCCTAACCCCTGCTCTCCCAAGGGTTTTAAGTTCTTGCCTGAACACTTCTGCTCAAGTACCTGGTTCTTACAGTACTTCAGCTCTTTTTCAAACAAGCTAAAACAGAGCTTCCACTATAGGGCTGCAAAACAAATGGATTTTTCCTTTGTTTCTAACAAATATCCCTATTAATTACTGTCTCATTTTGGCCTCTTCTCTTTTTTCCCTGCCCTTTTTCTCATTGTTTGTAGGAAAGTGAGCTGTCACGTTTGAAAAGCGAACTGTCATCCCTGAAGGAACAACTGAAAGAAGAAATGGAGGAAAAGGTGAATTTTTTTAATAACTGTAGCAGTGTGGGTGACAGGTTTGGCCTGGGCCTATGCACTGGGAGAAGCTGTATAAGAAATGAAACTGTGAATAGAAAAATGACTTTGGAATGCTGCAGTTGTACTAAATCTGGCCATATGTTTATTTGAACTTTGTAACAGTGTATGATGGTGGACTGTGTTCTGTAATTACACCAAGAAGATTTTTAGCAACTGAATTCAAATAAAATATTTACTTCCTATCCTGTAACTCTTTTCAGGAGAATCTTGTGAAAAAACACTCCCAAAACAGGGTTCCTGAAACTGAAATGGAGCACAAGGTAACTTTAACCAAAGAAATGATTTTAGAATTTGGTCATATTTATACATATGGAACCTAACTGAAGTTCTGTGATACTTTATGTACACTCAACAAAAGACATTGAAATGCTTTTAGCCTAAACCTTTTTTAATTTTAGAAAATACGGACTTATTTTCCTGGGACTCAGATACCTCCTTGAGATTTGGACAGTGAATCTACTGATGTGAAAAACAAAAAGTCTCCTTCTTATGGAA